AAGCAGTTAAGGTTGTGGCTGTGGGTGGAGAAAGACTCTTCTTTCTTTTTCTTGGGACGTCGGGTAAAGTGGATTTGTATGTAGGGATGAAGTTTAGTAACAGTGGGGCCTTTCGTTTATGGATTGGAAGGTTGAGGAGTGTTTTTAGATTTGTTCCTGGGAAGAAGGATTGACGAAAATTTTATGCCTCCACATACCCATTATGTTGGCTTAAACTAAGAGGAATCTGTTTCAGAAGGTGGGCGTTTTTCAGGTTTCCCTAAAGATTAAGGGTTCTACAGACAAATCCCAAATCTATGAACTATGAAGATAAAGATCGAGGGCACAGATCTGGGACAGATACAAAAAAGAAGAAAACAAAGACGAAGTTTCAGATTCAAGAACAGAGGTATAGTTCTCAGAAGCAATAGAGATACAGAAACAAATCAAGAAACAGCGGCAAAGAGAATGATGAAAAAGCATAGAAGCTCAAAGTATAGCCACAAATTCAAGAGACAAATAAATCCCAGACCTCGAACAAAATCAGTAATGGCAGTAGACAGACAAAAGCACATAAAGAGAATTGAAGAATTAAAAGAAAGGGTCTTACCAGAACAAATGAAGCCAAGGCAGTGCTCACCGAACCCAGAAACCAGTTGCAACAACAAAGAGGGCTTTTGCAAGAATGAAGGATCAAAAGCAGTTCCAGAAGAAAGTTTGAAGCAATGGCTGATTCGAAGAAGAAAAAGCTTTCAGAAAGAGAGAGAACGAGAAGACAGAATGAAAAATGAAGGAAAAGAAGAGGCAAAAAAGAGTTTTGTCAAAAATTTGAAACGGCGGCAAAAATAGGGCAATTATTGCGCCTAGAGCAACGCACGAGTCAGACGGCGCAGACGAACGAACAGACAGCTTCAGGCGCGTCACTGACACGCTCCAATAAAGACGAAACACGTAAAAGAAACAGTTGGATATGCATGACAGCTCATGCCGAAAGGTAATTATTGTCGTCGCTAAAAGTTTTTTGCAACGCCCTCTGTTGTGAGCCCCCATTTGTCGTCGTTAAAAGTCATTTGCCGTCGCTAAAATTTTTTTGAGACGGCATGAAGAGTATTAGTGACAGCACCGTGCCGTCACAAAAAACCGAAATTTTTGTAGTTGTGGGGACATATTTTCTGAATACCAACACGTGGCATGGTGACGCCGACGTGTCAGCCGAGGTGCCACGTGCCCTGGTAGTTAAGCCGAGGTAATCTCGGAGAAGCCGAGGTCATCTCCGAAGATGTCGGAATCCGAAGATAAGGGACAACAGTCCTGAAGCAAAGAGGGGACTAAATTAAGATAAGGATAAACCTCTTAGGGAGTTTATCTCTATCTCCTAAAGAGTCCAGAGTAAGTACTAAGATTGGGGTACATAGAAGTCATATTTCTAGTTGGACCTGGATTGAGTATATTATAAAAGAGAGGCACCCCCGTGGGTCTAAGGTATGTAATTCATACTTTGAGTATTCAGTTCAATACTTGATTATCCTTGAGAAACATACTGACTTGATCGTCGGAGTGCCCCCAGGTGGAAGAACCACCGCCGGAGCCTTTCCTTTCTGTTACAGGTTGTTGGAGCCATCTATTCTGCCGGTGCTTTGCTGCTGATCACTAAACGGGCAGTGTGGTCAGATTTTTACCCACACAACATCCATATAAATTATTGTAGCGCTTGGTTACATGTTGTTGTGGTGATGAGACTAGCAAATTATCAAATCAAAAATAATTTTGATACATTGTAGTGTTTGGTTATAAAGTAAGTGGTATAGTTTACAACTCATTATGATAAGTTTAATTACGACTCTCAAAATGTTGTTGAAAATAAAGTAAACATGATTTTTGAAATCCTGTCATGAATGATTCTACTTGTATAAAAATATTATGCATCTTTATGTATCCATTATTTTTTGAAAACTAAGTTTTTTAGTTTTCGTATTCTTTTATTTTTGGTGAATATTTTTTAAATTTTAAACATTTTATTTTTTATTTTTTTAGATGTACCTTAGTTAGATGTATCTAAAAAGTAAAAAATTTGTAATTTGGAAAATTTATGTTCAAATTGATTTATTCACCAAGCAGCATACAATTTATTTATTTTTCATTTATTTAATTTTCTGCACAATAAACTGACCACCAAACCATAAAAATTGGTAGATTTCAACGATTAGATTAAAATTTTTGCAAAACTATAGCCATGAGACCTCTCTTCTTTATTTCAACCAAAACTCACTATCTAAAAAAATGTGGATATAGAAATTTATTTGGGTACTGTTATTGGCTAGAATAATAAAATGCTTATTTTCTATTACAAATTGCAAGTGGGTTACATAAACAAAAATACTGCAATAGTAAATATTTGGTGATATGATCTTTGTTTGCATTTGTGTCATCATACTACAATACACCAAACTATTTTCAAAAATCTAATTATAAAATTCATTTGAAAATTCAAAACCATACAGATCATCTATTTATATTTTCACCTCAAATTTTTTTTCACAACAAATTAAATAAATTACATTTTAACCCAATAATTTTATTTTCAATTAATGGTCACCGTGCCTTCAGGCACGGGCATACCCTAGTAATAAAATATATGAAGGTAAAAAAATATTTTTATTTTATTTCTTAACTCAGGATATATAATCTCACATCTACCCCATTAATAATAATCCTACAAATTTGTTGGATTAATTATTAATTGGATTAATATTTCTGAAACAAAATTTCAAAACAAACTTAAGATTATTGGGACCACGAATTAATTATCTCAATCTCATACTCTAATCCTGTCAATTAAACATGCCCTTATACCTTTATATTTAATTTTGATATTTAATATTGGGGATGAGAGAGAAGAGAAAGGATCAAGGTATAGAAAATTTTATACACAAACTAAATAACATTAATACTATTATTTTATATTATTATATAATGTAAATATATTTTTAATTGACAACACATTAAAAATAATATGAATATTCTATCTCATATGATGTGAATATATTTTTAATTGACAACACATTAAAAACAATGTGAACATTCTCTCTCATATAATGTGAACGTTTACAACACCTTTTCAAAAAATTCTCTCTCATCTAACGTAGTGATGTGAACGTTCACAACATGTAAACCTTCTTATTTTTAATTGATAATATATTAAAAATAACGTTTATTATATTTTTAATTGACCCCACATTCTTATTCACAACATGTACTGATGTGAATGTTTACAACATGTGAACATTCTCTTTCATCTAATGTAGTGATGTAAATGTTCACATTAGTATGTTTTAGTATGAACATTCACATCATGTTGTGGGGACATATTTTCTGAATACCAACACGTGGCATGGTGACGCCGACGTGTCAGCCGAGGTGCCACGTGCCCTGGTAGTTAAGCCGAGGTAATCTCGGAGAAGCCGAGGTCATCTCCGAAGATGTCGGAATCCGAAGATAAGGGACAAGAGTCCTGAAGCAAAGAGGGGACTAAATTAAGATAAGGATAAACCTCTTAGGGAGTTTATCTCTATCTCCTAAAGAGTCCAGAGTAAGTACTAAGATTGGGGTACATAGAAGTCATATTTCTAGTTGGACCTGGATTGAGTATATTATAAAAGAGAGGCACCCCCGTGGGTCTAAGGTATGTAATTCATACTTTGAGTATTCAGTTTAATACTTGATTATCCTTGAGAAACATACTGACTTGATCGTCGGAGTGCCCCCGGGTGGAAGAACCACCGCCGGAGCTTTTCCTTTCTGTTACAGGTTGTTGGAGCCATCTATTCTGCCGGTGCTTTGCTGCCGATCACTAAACGGGCAGTGTGGTCGGAAAATCACCCACACACATGTAATTGGTAATACAATGACAAAAATTAATTTTAAATTAATGTGAATATAATGATGTGAATATTCACATCATGTAATTGACAATATAATGATAAAAATTCATTTCAAATTAACACGAATATAAGGACAGTCAACATTCCGATGCATGCGAATTACCAAAATATAATGATAATCAATATTATGGCCTAGTTTGACATAATACAAAAAAAAAAAAAATCAAAAAGTCACTATATTATTTAAGTCACATCATCTCATTTAAATCACATCATCTCTCTACCATTAAATAAAAAATCTAATAAAATAATTAAAAAAATAAAAAATAAAAAATAAATTGAATGAAATAAAATTCTTAAAAAAGATTTTATCAAAAAACGCTCCCATTAAAATAATCAAAAATTATAAAACTACTAAAATAGACGAGTTCAGATATATGGTCTTGTTTGGTTTGTGTTTTTCAAAAATTTTTGAAAAAAATTTTCTACAAATAAGTTTTCAAAAGTAATCAAATCAAACAAATTTTTCCAATTTTTTTTTCAAAACTTGTTTGGTTTACCAGTTTTCCAAACAAATCTCTCTCTCATACACATCAAATTAATCACTTTTTTCAAAACTCTCTCTCAAAATAATTTTCCAAAACATCTTTTGAAAAAAACCAAACCAAACAACTTTTCGTACTTTTTATCTCTAAAACTCATCTCCCAAACTCAAACCAAACATACCCATATATTGTCACCCCATCAGAGAAATAGACAGAACCCACTCACATACCCACTTAGCCTAATGTCACGTGACAAAAAGCCCACCTCACGTGACTCGTCCCCTCTAATAACGCTATACAAGGTAACCCACTAAAACCTACGCGCCTCCAGTAGCGATTGGGCCACGAGACCAGTGTCACAGCAAAACACTTTCTGTTTTTAAATTTTTTTATATGGAAAGTGTATCTCACGCGCAGTAGAAGAGAGTGGGTTTTATTCACTATGTTAAAAATAGTAGCTGGTCTGAATCCCCCTGTTATCTCCCCCAAAGACTTTCACTGACGTCTCACCTTCTCTGCTTCTTTCCTTCAAGCAGGAGAGAGAGAAATTAATAAAGAATTGTTGCAAGCGGGGAGAGAGAGAGGAGAGAGGAGAGAGGAGAGAGAGAGACTTTGAGAGACAGAGGAGAAAAGGGGGTTTACTGTGTGTTTGAGGAGAGAGAGACAGAGATTTTTGTTGTTGGTGGTGGTGTGTGGAGGAGAGGTGGGTGGCAATGAAAGGAGAAGGAAAGATGGTGTTCAAGTCTAAGCTGAAGTGGGTTGGACTGGTTGGGCTTGTTCTCTCTGCATTCTCAATCTTCACCCATTTTTTATTAGCTAGATACACAGAGCAGGGTATTTCAGAGTTCCAGGCTTCAATCACAATCTTCTCTTGGAGACCCCTCTTTGAGAATGCAGATCTTTCTACAAATGTAAACTTCTCCAAGATCTCATCTTTCAATTCCCCTCTCTTTCTATGCATGTTCTCTCTGAATTACTATTTGATTTTACAGTTTTACATAGTGTGAATCTGATTTTCCCCTTCCCTCGTTCGGCTGATCAGAAAATAAATGGAAGATAAGATTTTGTTTCATATATAGACAGTGAAATTATGTGATTCGAAACTTCAATTTAGTTTCTCTCTACTCATTCATCTTTACCTTTGTGTACTTTTAGATTTTGGGGTTTCTGCTTAAACTTTATTTTATCTTTGTTCTGGGGTTTGGGATTGTTGGAAAAGAACCAGATGGATTTCTTTGTTTCTTTCCCCAAAGTAAGCTTTGATGTTTTGTTTGCTTTGTACTTGGTGAATGTGTTTTTGGAATCTGCATTTTGGAACACTTTTAGTTGTTTTCACCGAAAATTTGTACCTTTTCTTAAATTAATTTCGCCTGTAGTATGTGTGCGGACCATATCATTTTCGTTTTTGCTTTTGTGTGTGTTTAAGGCTTCTTATTAGTCTTCTGTTTCATTGGTTTTTTTTTTTTTTGTTTTGTTTATTCAGAGTCCATTATATAGAAGACTATGGGGTCCAGGTAGGCAGCTCGAATATATATATCCACATGCAAATCCCAGAGGAAACTATAATGCAGGTTAGATTTTGTGCATTTTGTTGCTACCTGTTTGGATCTTGGATTTGTTCAGTGAAATGAAAAGATGGACAAGAAAATGAATTGTAATGCTCAATTCTTTTCTTTTTGTTTGTCTGGTTTTGGAAAACGAAATTAAAATGAATATATATATATATAAAATTTTGTTTTCCCAGTTTGGTTACTAATAAGAAAACAATTTGCAAGTCATTTTATTTCTGTCAATTTCTAACCACACTGCCAATCAAGTACTCAGCTAGAGAATATTGACAAAATAGATTAAGCCCGAACGACTTGTAGATTAAGCCCGAACGACCTGTCACAAAAAGAAGAGATTCCGACGGTGGTTCGTCCACCCGGGGCACGTCCACCCGGGGCACTCCGACAATCAAGTCAGTTATCTCTCAAAGATAGCAAGAGTGCTTAAATCACTATTCAGAGCATAAAAAGCATACCTTAGACCCATGAGGGTGCTTCTCTTTTATAGCCAACACAAACCTAGTCTCAATAGAAGTCTAGCTTCAATGGACTTAGGATTATTACTAATCTTGGACTCCCAGTAGGACTGAAATAAAATCTCTAAGAGTCTTATCTTTACTCAAATTGAAATCCTCTCTCATTCTAGGACTCTTGTCTCTTATCCGCTTATCTCGGATTCTGATATTTTCGCAGATAACCCCGGCCTAGCCGAGATGATCTTGACGTCATAACCAGGACACGTGGCACCTCGGCTGGCACTTCGGTGACACCTCTGCTACGTGTTGTCATACGAAAATTATGTCCCCACAATTTCCTTTTGATTTTCTTTTCCCTTAACATATAATTCCGTCCATTTGAATGGGTGGTAAGTGGAGAAGAATTGGAGAAGCTGATGTAGATGTCTACTAAGTTTCCTTGGTAGACAGGTCAAGTTATAAATTGATGTCTGAATTATATATTGGTCCCCTTTGGGCATTGGGCAACAAATTGAGGAGAGAGTAGATTTCAAATTTTCAGATTTGTCTCTTGGAGATTCTTCATTAACTTAACTTAGCATTATCTTTTGAGATGAAGCTTACATATTATTGCTGCATGTGATTTGAGTTGTGCTTTCTTTTGCTATTGAAATGGTCGTGCAGGTGGTTGCATGCTCGGGGTATTAGCCTTCTTGTTTCTGTCATTTCATTGTTAGATGATGAAAAGAATGACAGAGTTACCTATTCTAATTGAAGTGGCTTATTGATTTGTTTTTTAATTCAGCAATATTGTTTTTCTAACTTAATTGTTGTAACAGCTCCTGTTGTGCAAGCAAATGGCTTTGTTTTTGTAAGGATAAGAGGAGGCTTTCATGAAATCAGAAACTCGGTGAGGACAGTGTTTGAATTTCCAACTGTGTCAAAATTTTATATTTGATGTCTATTGAAAAGGTCTTCTCCATGCAGATATGTGACGTTGTTGTGATTTCCCGGCTTCTCAATGCTACATTGGTCATTCCTGAGATCCAATCAACCACAAGCAGCAAAGGAATCAGGTTACCCCCTCATTTTCCTTAAATAATTAAAGCATCATATTTTTTGTTTGATCATGGCCTAAATAAGGTTTCACATAATCATTGTTATCACTTTATTTCATCGTTTGTTTCATGCAGCTCTGAGTTCAAGAGTTTTGCCTATCTCTATGACGAGGATCAATTCATTGCAGCATTAGCAAAAGATGTCACAATTGTAAAAACTCTTCCAAAGAACCTCAAAGGGGCAAGAAGAAAGAAAGAAATTCCTATGTTTAGAGTGCCTTACTCAGCTTCTCCATATTTTTATCTGCGCCATGTTCTTCCAGTATTAAACAAGCACTCGGTGGTTGAATTAGTAATTTCTGATGGTGGATGTTTGCAGGTAATGACTGCTATATTATGTTATTTTTCATCTGATAATGTTAACAAGTTCCAATGTGCAAATTTGATTTGTAGAATGACTTGTTGTTCATCACCATAATTGATAAGGAAATCTATGGCCAAGTTTGGCATCTACTAAATAATACAAAAAGTCAAAAAGTCACTATCCTATTTAAGTCACATCATCTCATTTAAATCACATCACCTCTCTAACACATCACATCAAACCCAACCCATATAAGCCAATAAGTCAAAAAGTACACTTTTTTAGAACATCCCAAACCAACCCTAATTTGAAGTCACACCCGTGGGTGACTTTCACTTAATGCAAAGTGGCCACTGGGCATATGTCTGCCACCTGCTCTTTCTTCTCTTTTCAAGTTTTATTATATAGAGCCCTCTTTCTTACTTGAATCAAGATATGTTCCAAAATTTCAATTTTGTTTGGTCTTAGAAGCATGAATGAAAAATTAATTAAATGAGGCTTGATGGTGGAGTTAAAAGCACTTTGTGTTGATAGATTTCCAAGGCTTAGTGAATTCAAAGAGGTTTGAGGGTGCTAATTTCTAATATATGTTAACATATGAAGACTTGTAGTGAGATACGTGTGAATTTATGATAGTGTCTTAATCCAGTTATATGTTAGTTAGCTACTTCGTGCTAGGTCCGTTTAGCAGGCCTACTAGGGCTCAAGATGCTCACAAACCCAAAACAAGCTAGTTAGAGGGCCAACCACGGCACGCACAAGTAAACAAACAAGACAAAATAGACTAAATTGAATGTGCTAAACCTAGCATTTTATTGGAAACTAGAATGCATTACAATGGGCAAAACATGCTACAAGTCGTAGGCAATAATACTTTATATATATCTATTTTTCATCTAAGCTATATAATGTTTTCCTTTTTTTCCTCTATGTCTGATCTTGAACTGTGAAATATTTCAAGAATCCTGCTATTTCGAGAGAGACCATTTTCATAATTTAATTTGATTTACATGGCCAAAAACTTTAGTCTGCATCTTTGGTTTGCATTTTGAAATAATTTCTCATCTTTACTGGATTTGTCAAGGCTATTCTTCCCCACCATCTTGAAGAGTACCAAAGGCTGAGATGTAGGGTTTCTTTTCACGCCTTAAGGTTCCGACAGGAGGTCCAAGAACTTGCTACTAAGATATTAAATAGGTCAATATCTACTCCCCTTTTATTATTGCAGTCAATTTATTTTGGCTTTTTGCTAATTTCTAATATTTATGCAGGTTAAGAGCTCCCGGACGGCCATTTATAGCCTACTACCCAGGGATGACTAGAGACGCTTTAGCATATTATGGCTGTGCTGAGCTTTTCCAGGTACTTGATTAAAGTTCTGAAGGCATGATTCATAATATAATTTTTAAGCCCTAAAATCAAAGCTCATTCAACATATTATGTATCTTGACTTAAAACTCTTCCAAGGATGTACATACTGAACTCATTCAGCACAGACGGTCATGGATGATAAAACGCGGGATTGTCAAGGGGAAACTTTCTGTGAATTCAGCTGAGCAACGCCTTAATGGTTCCTGTCCACTTATGCCAGAAGAGGTGACAAACTGTGCATTTTAAGTTACAGGTGTAGCATTTCTATGATAAGTCAGTTACATTTGAAGATGAAATTATCTGATTCCTTTCCAAAATATAGATTTAAATGAACAATAATGAGGAGTTGAGCCATGTAATTATACATGGTTGATCAACTCTGGTGTTTGGATTGGGTTTTTTACTGTTTTTTTGCCTTTTTTTACTTTTTTAGAAGCTAAAAAAGCTAATGTGTTTGGGGATTTTCTAAAAAAGTTACTTTTCTGTGTGTGAATAAGTTGATTAGACATTTGGGTTTTTTAGCTAATGAGAAACAAGCTTTTTGACCTTTTAGCTTATTTAGCCAAAAAGATAGCTTATATATAGCACATACCAAATAAGGTTGGTGAGGGATTTGTTGGGAGAAAGGAAAAGAGAAGGGAAAAGTGACAAAAGTTTAGCTTACATATATCACTTTTCCCTTCCTATTTTTTTTCCCTCCCCAAATCCATATCCAAACACAACCTAGATGTATCTATCAAGTGGAAATCATAAGAAGAAAAATGTAAACAACTTTATGATGTGAATGACTGTTTTCTGCAGGTTGGCATTCTTCTTCGTGCTTACGGTTACTCCTGGGACACAATCATTTATGTCTCTGGGGGAGAAATTTTTGGCGGTCAAAAGAAGTTAATTCCACTTCATGGTATGTTTGAAAATGTTGTGGACAGGACATCCCTAAGCACGGCGTGGGAACTCAGTGGAATATATGGTCACGAGGCTAACCTTGTTGACAAATATCCAAGGACTCGATCTTTTGTCAAGGAAGAAACCAGACTTGAAGCGTGGAAAACTTCAGGTCCGCGTCCTCGCCCTCTTCCACCACCACCAGCACGACCCAAGTACCCATATAATATTGAAGGTTGGTGGGGTTGGGTAGCTGAGAGCGATAATGAGCCGGAGAGTACTGTTATGGAGTTGAGAATGACTGCTCATAAACTATTATGGGAAGCAATTGACTACACAATATGTGTTGAAGCTGATGTGTTCGTTCCTGGATTTGATCGCGATGGTAAGGGCCGTCCAAATTTTGCAAGCTTGGTTATGGGGCACAGGCTTTATCAGTCGGCTGCATCAAAAACATACAGGCTAGACAGGTAATTTTACTTTCTATTCATCTTTCTTTTTTTCATTTTTCATTTTATTTTATTTGATAAGTCTCTTCATCCAATTAATGAACATCTCACGAAAATTCAAATTGGAGATTAAAATAGTTTAGGGTATAATCTGATTCATTTTTAACTGCTATTACTTGGGTTTTACTCTAGGTTGATGCAAACACACTCGACTAAGACTCAGTTGATAAAATGGACCAGCAACACTTTCTTTTACCATTCCGCTATCTTCGTTTCTTCTTCTTTAAAATTATTTGACTTGTTTTTATCCTATCCGAGCACAAGGATTAATTAAATTTTATTGGTGGATTTTTATGCATTGCTTGAAGTTTCTCTTTGTTATCAAGGAACTGCCGGCCCGTCTCTAACTGCATTCGATACCAATGAAATATTTCTTGTTGAGCCATAATTCTTATAGATCCGCTCCAATTTTCTGTTACTATTTCATAACTTTTTTCTTGTTGCTTCTCACACAACAGGAGAGAAGTTGTGAAACTTTTGGAAGAGATCCGTGACCACTTGTATCAAGCCAACCACACGTGGATAACATCAGTACGCAAACATTTGAGAAAAACCTTGCTAGAGGGACTAAAAGATGAATCCACAAGTTCAAAGCCACTGTCTTTTCTCTCTCATCCACTCCCAGAGTGTTCTTGCTTGAGGTATGGGACTACTGAAACATCATTCCAGGCTTCGAGTCCTTCAACTCAATTGCAAGTTGAGGCTGCTCTTGGAGTTACCCATCGTTGCCCTGCTTGGATGGATGGTGATTCAATCTCACAATCAAGAGAAAAAGAAACGGAAGAGGATCTTGACGAGGATGATTCCACATCATCTGGATTGTTCTTTTGGCATAGTGTTGGAAATCATGGAGGCGGAGAAGTAAACAACAAAGAAGAAACTCAAATGGAGGATCAAGAAGAATTAGAGGGCGCAGATAGATGATGATTTTGCTTGTATTGGTGATTTGCATATCTCGTTACTTGATTTTCTGATGTGAAGAGAAGTTAGAAAATGTTCTAGGAGACCGGGATTTAGTTTTGAACTGTGGTTCAACAACTCTCGGTTAATCTGGCCCTTAATTTTTGCCCAAGTGGATCAGATTATCGGTTTTTTGTGTAATGGAATATATGGGGAGCTTAGTTCCAATGAAGAGAGGTGAGGTAATGAGCTTGGTAGAGTGGATGATCCTCTGTTCTTAATTTAACCAGCTCAAATAGGTGCTCCAGATATAGTCTTTGACCCAGGTTGAGATTTCTATTTATTTTGGGCAAATTACATATACACCCCTCGAGGTTTGGCTAAATTACAGATACCCCTGAGGTTTCGGAAATTACATCCCGCCCCCTGAGGTTTGTATTTTCATAACAATTTGCCCCCTGAGGTTTATATTTCATAACAAATTACCCCATAATTTCTTATGCAAATATAGCATTTAGGGGGGAATTCGTAATTTCTCAAACCTCAGGGGCATCTGTAATTTAGCCAAACCTCGAGGGGTGTATATGTAATTTGCCCTTATTTTTATATTTTTTGTTATTATTTTTTTAGGGGTTAATGTGTAGCTGTAAGAAACTTTAATTGTTTAGGTATCCAGTGTCTTTTCATATTTTGACTTGTATACCTCATTCAGTGAATGTTTATAATGGGTTTTATTTTATTTATTTATTAATTACATGTATAGAGCTTCATACTACTTTATTTTGTTTTTTTGTTTGTTTTTATAGGGTGTGGAATGTGGATTTTCGGCTGTGAAAATTGTAAAGATCAAACTGTGCAATCGAATGCTAACATATATTCATTTCGAAATCTCAAATAATTTGTCAAATATGTTTTTCGTATTGAACTTTTTTGAATAAATTATAAATATACTTTCTGAGATTTGTTTAAAATACGAATTATCTGCTGAGAATTGATTGAGCTGGTTTGGTTGTATTCAATGGAGACCAACAGAAGCAGTAGTAAACAGATGTGATATTGTAACGGTGGATGGATGTGATATTGTAACGGTGGATGGAAGTGTTAGAGGACATGGTAGACTAGACTTTAGTGTTATAAACAGAGATATGGATCTACTAAATTTGGCTGATGGAAATGGCCTTTGATAGGGCCGCTTGGAGAAGAAAGATTCACGTAGCCGACCCTATTTGATGGAACTTAAGACTTGGTTTAGTTTTGGTTTTGGTTTTGATTAGAATTAATTAAAAACGTGAAATTTCTAACTGTTCACTTATACAATAATCAAATTATCTAAATTATTAATTGAAATAAAATTTTAGCATTATTAATAAAATGATTTATTTGTTATGAAATTAAAAATTTTAGAGGGCATAATATAATTTTTAGAACTATATAAGATAATTTGTAATTTAAATAAATCTCAAGATATGTATTTATGACTTACCCAATTTATTTTATTTATTTTTTTCAATCGAAAAGAAATAGAAAAATAAAAATCACACAAACTCGAATCAAACTTGCTAAAGTGATCCCTTATTATTATTTTTCGGACAAATAATTTAATCCTTAGTGTTTTTATTTATGGGCCGGTTATTCTTTTTATTTAGAAATAATCATATAATTTTTTTATAGTTTGTGAATTGAAATGTAACTATAAACATTCTGTTAAACCTAACAAAAATGAAATACGTGTTGAATATAAAGTGATTTATATGTTAATTCTTAAATTTTAAAAATGTAAATTGCACATTAAATAAAATACAAGGGAGCTACATGGAATTTTGAGTAGAAAAAATAGACTATATCTTGACAATTTTCGGGGGAGAAAAAAAAAAAAGAAAAAGAAAATTAGAAGGAAAAAAGAAAATGAAAAAAAAGAAGAAAATTCAACAACTTATGGGACCAGCAGTGAGGAGTGCAGGTTATGGAGCGTCACTGAGCTTGCGCATAATAGCATGGACCACTTAGTAATTAATGTTAGTTTAGGAAGTTGTTTGCCAACTAGTGTATTATTTAATTCTGTTTCCCAGACCCCCCCTCTCGGAGAAGAAGAAAGTTAGGGCATTCGTCGCCGGAGCTCCCATCGCCGGCCTCTCCCCTCCGACCACCACCAATCACCACCACCGCCGTCGTCTCTCTCTTCATACAAGTTACTCTCCCTCCCTCTCTCTCTCTCTCTCTCTATGTATATATATAAATATATACGAATTTTTTTTGCTGCAAATTTGCAGGAGATCGGGGCTGAAGAATTGGAGCAGGTTGGAAATGGTGAGAAGTGTGAACAGTCATTTCAAATAATCCAAAGAAAAATACCTAGATTTGATGGGGGGGGCTACGGCTTCGATCTGAAGAGGGTTGAAGATGAAGGTTGAAAAGGGTTGGAAGTTCATCCGAAGTTGATCCGAAGTTCACTAATCTAAAGCTGATCTGAAGTTCATCTTCATCCGAAGCTCTCTCTCTCTCTGATCTTCACTCATCCGAAGCTCTGATCTTCCCTTTGACCTTCCCTCTTCCCTCTAATCTTCACTCATCCGAAGCTCTCTCTCTCTCTCTCAAGTTTCGAAGCTCTCAAATTGTTAAGAGTAGATCTCTCAAATTGTTAAGAGTAGATCTGGAAACTTTCCTAAAGTTTATCGAACTTCGAAGACTAGATTTTTCCACATGATTGATCTCAGTCGTTGATTAATAACAATCCAACGGCTGAGATCCAAGTGTGTTACTTTATTCATTAAAAAAAATAAAAATTACGTAAAAACATAATTGAAACATAAATAAAAAAAAATGACTCTTTTTTTTATGTTAAAACAGCTATAAAAAAAAAAAATGACTCCTTTTTTTCTATAAATACAAACCTTCTCTGCTCTCTTTTTACTCAATTTCATTTCACAAAAAACTTTCTAAATTACATTTTTATTTATATTTTCTTTACACAATCGGTATGGAAGGTTCATCAAAAATAAAGAGAGGAAAATCATTCACCATTGCTGAAGATATGGCACTTTGTCGAGCTTGGTGTCACATTTCTGAAGATCCAATTGTTGGCAATTCACAATCTTATACTCACTTTTGGGGGAGAATTTATGAAAATTATTGCTCCCTTCAGAATGATCAGTCAAGAACACAAGTTTCTATCCAATCTCGATGGGGTACAATCATGAAATGTTCTAACAAATTTCGTGAATATTTAGCGCAAGTCGAAAATCTACACCCAAGTGGGATGTCTCAAGTTGATCTAGTAAGATTTCATCTTCATTTATTACGTTAGTTTTTTATTTTATTTTATTTCGTCTCATATAAAAATTAAATAATTACTTAATTCAATATTGATACATATTTTATTTTATCTAGTAAGATCTCATATTTTATTTTATTTTATTGATACTTACTTAATTCAATATTGATACAGATGCTTCAAGCAAAACTTTTATACCATCAAGATGAAAAGAAACATTTTGCTTTTGAACATTGTTGGTCAATCTTGCAAAACAATATCAGGTATTCCATCGCGCTATCTTGCGCATCTCACTATTTTGCGCTGTGACCATTTCTTGCATTTTGCATGCATTTTATCGTGCTATCTTGCGCACCTCATCACACT